CAACTTCCAAAAGACATCTTCTCCTCACCCCATTTCACCAAGCGATATCTCCTACTCCTCAAATACCCTTTACTACAATGTCTAACTAGCTAGTCTTCTCTCAAAAATGTTGACTAGCCAGTTACATTGGCATGTGAACTTTTTCTTTAGTTCTGCAATTAGACCCTCACATATATGGAGAAATGTTTCATCTTCTGGAAAAAAGGTTAGCTTTTTAGGACAATTGTTCAAGTAACCGTTGTTACAATGTCTAACTAGCTAGTTTTCTTGCAAATATGCCTGACTAGCTAGTTACATCCGTATGTGAACTTTTTCTTTACTTTTGCCCTTAGACCCTCCATATATGAAGAACTGTTTAATCTTCTAACAAAAAAGATTAGTTTTTAATTCTTTTAATTCTTCTGTATGTGATATTTCTGATTTCTATTGGAAAAAAGACCTAATGTTCTAATAGGTCTATTTGCTAGAGATGATAGAAATGCACCAACCCAACTTTTCAGTATCTTCAATGTCTTTTAAGACCATGTATATCTTTTCATATTCTAGGAAGTTGTCAGCATTAACAGGCAGAAAATGTAATATATGCATTATGAGAGTGCAATGAAATAGTTACTGCAAATAAAATGGATAATCTGACCTTGTAATTAAAATAAATGACAAATATTTAATAACACAAGCTTTTGAGACAGGTTTTATAAGAATTCTATTAATTAATTGTAGTCATTGGTGATTATGTAACTTCCATGTACAACAAGTCAATAGTAGCAAGCTCTTTAAGCTGCGCAAGTAAGAAGTAATGCAATTACCATGGCTGAATCCCACATGGTAAGCCCTCGGAAAAGTCACAACAAATTCACCAGGATTTTGTACTAACCTGAAATAAACACCAGGAAAGGAACGAAATTAAATACTTAAAATCTGAGATTTTAACTCTCACATCCAAAAAAGAAGGATTCAGATGCAACAGGAAAGGAAAAACCCACCTACAGCAGGGAATCCCTGAATCAATAACTATCTCTGGTGATAACAGAGTTGTCTTTTCACCTAGTAGGCTAAGGGCAGCTGACAGTGAAGCAAACTTGAATTCAGCGACAAATATATAAAGATGTAAAAGTTATCAGGCTACCTTCACATGGGAATGAATTACTATATTCCAAGATAGTTGTCTGAAACTTCCAAACTACAAAATATTCCTGAAGCAAATGATTGAGCCAGGACTGATGTTTAATCGAGTTGATTAAAATATCAAAGAAATCCTTAAGCATGCAAAAGATTAACTAGATAAGTACAAAAATAATGTTCAATGCACATTTGCATGGGGCAGCAAGCATATATCAGGAGCAGTAGCTATGCTAGGTGTTCATATGTCAATATAATAACGCAAACCTACTGCTATAGAATTCTCATATTCTTTCATTTTAGTTTCCCTTATAGATTAATCAACCATGAAAAGTGAACATACCTAACCGGTCAACATTACCCCCATAAGCCTCAGACCGAATAACCTCTTCAAATGCAAATGCATAATGACCCGGGACAGCATACCAAGTCTTGGACGAGCCCGTGTGAAGAAAATTCATGCTATGAAGTTCATGGTCTTCAACATGCCAAGCGAACCAGCTGAATAACATACCAATGTAAACCATCGGTGAAGTAACACCAGGGATATCATCTGGCATGAAACGAGTAAGTGAGCCAGGTGAGCGTGCAATTACTTGAAGGTTCCACGGACTGTTTGAAAGCTTCCAGCCGGCAGTACCTTCCATATCACTAGGGGAGGATACACTCTTTCTCCTAGAGGACTGCAAAAGTTTATCAGAAGGAAGATTTGCTGATTCTGTAAATAGCTTGGATGCCTGCAAAGACATATCCAGCACATTCTTACCAAGCATATCACTAGTCTCGTGATCACTATGAATACTCCTTTTACTTTCCTCCTCACTTTTCTTGAAGCCAGAGCTTTCTCTCCTACAAAACAATTCCCTCTTCCTCCTCCGCTTACTCAAATATCGAAATTGGTCCTCTGGTTCCCCAAAAGCCGAGCCAGGCACATCATTTGCATATTCAATATATATAGGCTTCTCTGACTCTGCTTTCCAAAACAATGCCTCAACTACCAAAGGCGTGACCTCCTTAATCACTCCCAACTGGCTCCGCACAAAAGCCTTAGACTTTGACTCAAACTGTTCCAATGTATAAACTTCCCCACTTTGCCACACCTGCTTATGCACGCCAAATTGCGGAGTACCAATCACCCCTTTCATTCTCTTGGCATTCTGTCCCAACTCTTGGTGCCTAGTTGTGAAAACAGCCCTAACATCACCATCCTTCCCACCATTCCCACCACCCAGTTTTGAGGAGGAACCGACATTAGAAAAATCTACATCCGACCCCAATTCAGGGCACTTCAAAAGTGACTTGTTCAAGTTAGAGAAAACGTATTTCTTTGAAGGCTTTGGTAATGGAGGGATAATCTTGCATATACCAAACGCACTAGCCTCCTCCTCAATTTTTGATATATACGCAATTGGGTCTGCAAATTCGGTGTCAGTGGGCCGAAATTCGGGTGCCAATGGCAACCCTTTTAGCCAACTGGGTATTTCAACATTAACCATTACAGTTAAAATTTATAATCACCAGACGAAAAACACGAGACTCCACGAAACAAACACATAGCACCCAATTAATCAACCTTATCGAAGCAACTGAACAGAGTAAGAAGACAAACCATAGTCGTTCAAACCCTAGAATTATGATTTCCCTATAGCACTTCTACATGGTTTTTGCCGCTTTTTCCGTCACTGAAACTACAATATACTGAAAGCGAAAGAACAGAGAAACAGAAACCCAGAGGATAACAAGAGAATGTATAGACAAAATTAAGCAATGAAAAATAAAACGATGGAACCCGCAAAACCTCTAAGACACAATTCGATTTGCTCCCCCCAGAGGCACTGAGAGAGAGAAAAAGAAGAGGTGACACAAGTATTGTTTTTTTAATATTCATAGGTCGTACAAGTTAGCATTATATGGTAACAACTTGCTAACGTGTACATGCGTACAGCTCAGATCATGATGCATGGTTGATGCGTTTAATTGCTCGTTATAATGGGGGTTTGGTACGGATTATCATACACCCCGGCGCATGTTAGCAACTAGACAAGGACGTGGCAGACGATAGACGATATGCCATGGAAAGTGACACCTAAGGCCTTTGGTGAATACCAAGACCATAAGAAAGAACCAAAGAAGGGTTTTTGTTGTAAAAGAAAGATCTTGGAATATTAATTTTTTTTTAAAATTTTTTTGAAGTGATTGTAAAGTTTAATTAATTAAATTATGTTTGTATAGAAATTTATAATTATTAATAAAATAAATTATAATTTTTGTAGATAATTTATAAAACGAGTTGTTATTTAAATTAGTTATGTCTTATCATCAAAGACTTAATTTTAAAATTTTATTATGAGTCAATTAATGACTAAATACATGTTAAGAGACTTAAATTTATCTAATTGTAATTAAAATTCAATTTTTTATTCTGTTCAATTAAAATTCTTGATATTTATTACTATAATATCGATAAGTATATATAATTTAGTAAAAGATTTGTTTTTTTTTATTGTTGAATGTTTTAGATAATTGTGAACAAATAATCTTGATTTATGAAGAATGTGTAAATTTTTTTAACATTCTATTATGATTATAAAATTTTTTTAATTTTTTGGTAGATTTAGAAGGAACGCTGAAAAAAAAAAGGTTAGCTCTTACTCTCGAGAAGAAGCCATCGAAGAACCATATACTAAAATGAATAATTGTCAATGTAGAAAGGTAAGCATATATGTGATATCTTGTTGATAAAACTTATAAAGTTTTCCTGTAATCTCTATTTATAATTGTTCATTTTAAAAATAACAATGATAAGACTCTTAAAATCATGACTTTTTGAGTAGTCATCGTAATGGAAATATCATATTTGGTAAACTTTTAGTTGTTAAGTATTTCATTATCACATGTTCATGTATAATTAACCGCTCACTTGCCAACTATTTATACTTACCATCATTTTTTTCATTGTTGCATGTATCATATAATATATCTAATATATAATTCTTCACTTGACGATATAATAGGTAGCGATTGTCTTTCATCTTTAATGGGTAAAGCTTAGCTATAACCCTTCTCTAGTTTGAATAAGAGCTAATTATTGTCTCTCTTCCAAGTTAAATAAGGCTTAGCTATAATTACTCCTTATATAAAGTTTAGTTATAATCTTCTTTTAATAAAGTTTTCACACAGTGCCGTTTTTAAAGTACTATTAATATCATATTTCCTCTAAGGTGTTGGTACCTATTAACATGTCGTTTTTTAAGGTATTATTTTATATGCTCATTATATTTAGTAACTGAGTTGGATAATCGAATTATAAATTCACTACTTTTATCTTAGTGAAAACTCATGAAAAAATATTACCAACGTTAATTTTTAATATGTTAATCTTAATTTTTTTAAATTTATGTTTATACTTTACGACTAATAGTTTTTAGTTCACACTGTGATGTTGTTGAATTGATTTGTCTCTTTTTAAATGCAACTAATTTGTTTATTATTTGTCCGTAAGAAATAAATTTGTCATTATCCGCTATAGGAAAGACTTCAATATCTATCTTTTAAGGAATGTAATATCATATCATATGATTTTTTAGCTAAGATCTTAGTACGACAGACTCTTTTTTTATTGTTATTATTTGTCAACACATTACAATTTAAATATTATGATTTATATATATATATATATATGTCATAAATATTATAAGTTTTTCAAATTATAAAATGTCTAAAAATCAGTTTTAATATGAAAATTACATATCTTTTATTAATTATGGTTGGTTTCAGAAAATTTGATGCTAATTATAATAAATTTAAAACTATATACATTCAAAATTTTGTTCCTGTCATTAGAAATGCTGTTGAAATCAAAACTTACATATCCTAATTAGAGGAAATTAATGTTAACAATCCAAAAATTCTCTTCTTCTGACGATTTGAAAAACTATATATACACTTATGTATAATATTAATAATATTTCTCATTGATAATTTCGTGGTTTTGGTCCCGAAGGGCTTGACCATGAAGGCTATATACATACATATATATATATATATGCCCCAGTCATTTCTCATTGATTTTTATAGATATACAAATATATATACATTATATATATATATAATCAATGATATATTAGATAATGTTACACAGCAGCAACAGCATACGTGATGTTAAAACCAAATTAGAAAGAAAAAAAAAAAGAAAAAGAAAGATTGTTAAATATTATATTAAAAACCACAGCAGCGTATGTCGATCAAGATCACCAATGACTCCAAGACGATCCAGACTTGCCGGAGATTTGCCGGCAGACTTCGCGGCAGGCCCGCACACACTGCTTCGGAGTTGCGTGTTCGACTTCGAGGCACCTGGGCATGCAAATGCGAATGCATTCCGCTCGTCCATTTGCTTCAGTTTGGTCAACGGTGTACGCCATGATTATCACCATGGTCAACACCAGCATCATTGACATGGACGATTTTCTGGTGGCCATGATCGTCTTAATCTGTCTGGGTTCTAAAGATTAAATCTTTTTTTTTTTTGGGTTTTTGTCTGATGAATGCTGTTGGCTAAGGGGGGAAGAAGGGGGGGGCGGGGGGCGGGGGGTCTGGATCTTTATATATAGAAAGTAAAGATACAAGGAAAACAAAACCATGTTTCTATGGCTTGGAGAAAAACATGGAGAGCCAATCAAAGGTTTTGAGATAGTACAATAGTATGCTTAGTGACTGATTAATGAGCATGTCTTCCAATTTTCTAAACATATATACATACACAAATACAAATATATATATATATATATATATATTACGCATACATACTTGATTTATTTTACCCTTTACTTTTAGCTAGTTTTAAAATTTTTTGATCAAATCGATCGAAAACAATCGACGTTATTTTAGACCTTTGTTAAAACTGATTCATTATCTAAGATATTAATAAGTTATGGCGAGTTACTCATTTTTTTTTTCTTTGAACTTTATATTATATTCTTCAAGAAGAAGAGAAGAGGTGCAATAGATCTACAATTTTTTGTTTCGAAAAATAAATTACGTTTTCACTCTTTGTCATTTAATTTTGTTACGATTTAAATTATGCAAATTTTCGTGAAAATTAAGTACTCGCAATTTGATTTTGCTATTTTGCATAGCATTCATGCTCCATTAGTTTTTTAAATTATAATATTTTGTTGTTTTTTTGTTTAAATTTATTTATACTAGTTTAAACTTTTTATAAATATTCACTTATAATAAGTTTGTATGGGTATATTTTATTTAAAGTTTCGAATAATTTATCTAAAATGATAAAGAAAAACTATCTTACATATGAAATATGTTATCACAAAACTCGTATAATTTGATTGTAATAAGATTAAATTGCATACGTGAAATTACAATTTCTCTTTTTATTTTTTTCTCCAAATAGAAGCGAAATTTATAATTTATCTACTTAATTTTATCTTCGATTTTTTCAAAATGATTCGTTTTTATTTTTTTCATCATTTCTTTTTCTTAAATTTTCTTTTACTATTTTTCTTTCCCTTTTTGTTTTCTTTATTCCCCTCTCTTCATTTCATCTTCATTAAAATAAGAAGTAACAAATGAAAAACAATGTAAATAATAATGAAAATAATAATAATAATAATAGTAAGTGACATTCCTTATAATCGCGAACTAATTTATAATTATTCTTACCAAAATTTGTCGTCTATTTTACACTATTATTATTTATTTTTTATTTGGCCGAAAAAAATTAAATATTACAATTGATTACCAACAATTGAACTCTTGAGCCCGAGTGATTCGGGGAAAAAAAGTGTTAGACAAGTGACATTTAAATTAAAACATTTTATAGTAACGCCTCAAGCGCAAATAACAATTAGCGAAATATTATCGACACAAATTTAAGTTATTGTTCGTGAATAATTTGAATAACAACTACAAAACAATCTACTTAGAATACAAATAATATAGTGAAAACTTTTTATTTTGGAGTCATATGTCTAGTTGAATGACATTACTTTATTAATGTTAAATTGCATAGTTAATTATTTAATAACTTTAACATTAAAAAATTGATAGAAAGTAGTAAAATACATTATTTACGTTCTAAAATGTTTGTTCAACCGTTGGTAAAATCAACCTATTTCCTTCAAAAGCTTAATTTCAAGATCTTAATTTTATTCTAATATATCCTAACAACTTTGTGATTTTAATGACTTATTCTTCAATTTAATTAATTGTAAGTGATTTGAATCTTTATATAAAATTCAGTAATTTTAAATTCAACTATTCTGATAAGAAATTGAGATATGAGATATATAATATTATTTCATAAATGATAAAGGCCGTTAATTTTTTATATATATATATAAATTACAACAACATATGTATATAGAGATAGGGAGAGAAATTCAGCACTTGTAATAATTTTGAAAATTAGGTTAAGTTTCAATTTCCCTTCTACGCCAAAAACCCCCCACCAACTTCTTTCATTTGATTGTTCAACTTGGTCACAGGTTTGTGTGCAAGGGGGCATACATCGAAACTGATTTGCACCCGGTAATGTTAGGCAAGAAGCCAAACATGGGGACATACACTCTGGAGTTGTCGCTCCACATAGATCATTGTTATACACCATTAAAACCATCGTAAGCATGAAGACAACAGTGGATTTGTTGGAAGCCATGAGATCTTGTCCTTGCTTTTCTAGGTTTTCTCTCCATTTATTTAATTAATTGTTGTTGCTTAGGGCTAAAACCTCAATGTTTGCTTTGTATCTATATTTATTCATATATATATCCAAGGAAGAAAACATTTTACGTGGATGTTTTTTGAGGTTTGGCGCAAAACATAGGGAGTCATCAAATC